TTTTTTTTTTGGTACTGGGGATCGAACTCTGGACTTTGAGCTTGCAAGGCAGGTGGCGGAACCACTGAGCTAAATCCCTAGCCCTAAATTACCCTGATTTAAGATTCCCAATTTAACTTTTCTGGATGTGTCACAATGGAATCCCATAGTTAAACAGATAGCATTTTAAAATTATCTTTGTATAAAATAATGGTGCATTAACAATCAATGACATCTTAAATTTGGTAAGTTGTAATATAAAAAGTGTGCTTATAACTGTTAAGTATTTGTACCTGCTCACCCAAAACAGGATACAAACTATGCTCCACACCTATTCCAAGCTCTTTAAATGTTAGAGGTTAATACCTTGAACCACCAGTGGTACATGTATGGCTGTCATGGACACACCACTGGTAGTTCAGAGCTGCCTGGCAGTAAGACGGCATTACAGCCCTGTTGTGAACATGTTAAAGTCTTTCCACAATCTTATGAGGTTGTATTATTGATATTCCCATCTTACATATGAGAAAATTAAGGCATAGAGAAGATATGAAATGTCCTAAAATCATGTAGCAGCTAGTAAATATACAGCCAGAATTTTGTTTCAGTACTGGGGATTAAATCCAAGGAGTGCTGAGCCATAACTCCAGGGCTTTTTATAAAACTGAGACAAGATCTAAATTACACAGGCTGGCCTCAAACTTGTGAGCCTCCTGTCTCAACCTCAGAGTACCTGGGATTACAGGTTTGTGCCACCATGCCCAGGTACAGCTAGACTTTGAACTCACTTGACTCTAGAGCCTACACTGGAACCACTAGACTAGGGATGTCTAGTTCTCTGAAGCAAACCCACCTTCCCAATAATTGAGTCCCCAAAAGCATCAGATCAGACATTTTCCTTAAAATGATTAAATATACGGATCTGCTTTTACTAATCTATTGGGGGGATAGTTGTTGTTTTGAGACATGTCACTGTAGTTCAGGCTGGCCTTGAACTCACTGTGTAGCTGAGGCTGGCCTCCAACTTGCGGTGATCTTCCTGACCTTGTCTCTTGAGTGCTGGAATTACTGGCATGCATCCCCTCACCCAGCTATTTTTTGTTAAGAGTAGGAAAAATTTATCTTTGGTTTTCTGAGACAGGTTCTTACTTGTAGCTCAGTCCAGCCTATGTACCTCAGGCTGGCTTCAATCTTGCAATTCTGCCTCTGTGCCCCATGTGCTGAGATTAAAGGTATGCACCACTGTATCTGGATATGAATTTGCTCTTATTTGGTTTTGATTTGTTTGTTTTTGAGACGGTTTCATTATATAGTCCACCCTGACCTTGAGCTAGCTATGTAGCCCAGGCTGGCTTTGAACTTGTGATCCTGGCTCAGCCTCCTGAGTGCTGGATTACAGGCATGAGCCACCAACCCTAGCATTTACTTTTAAATTCATGTTTTTAACATTCAAAATTGTAATTTAGAGTTCTTGAATCTCTCTAAAGTCCATTTAAATTGTTCAGTATTTTAAGGTGGTTTTTTTTTTTGCAGGGCTAAAGATCAAACAGGGCGGGGGGGCACAAACCAAGGGTTTTGCACACTGGAGGCAAGGGATCTATCACTGAGCTATATCTCCAGCCCCAGATGAAATTTCTTTTATGTAAAGTTCTTATGTATGTTTCTTCAACACTCGGCAGTTTCCTTTTAGGAAGGCAACATTGGGATAAGATAAGCTATCAAGAATGGAGTAACTACCTCTGGGGGCCACAGATATATTGTTGCAAGAGGTATAAAGAACTTTGCTAAACAAAGGTCCCACAAACATAACACATGCAAAGCTGTATGAAATAGCAAGCGTAAATTCTGAAACTAACCCCAAGAGTAGAGTCCATAAAGATCATTTGAGATCTGCAAGGGGTTATTATTATTATTATTTTTTTTTTAGGTAACAGGGATTGAACTCTGGTCCTTGCGCTTGCAAGGCAGGTGATGGAACCACTGAGCTAAATCCCCGGCCCTCGCAATGAGGTTATTAAGAAAGCTGCAAAGTCATCAACACTGGCATTTATAGAATGCTCTCTGAATGAGTGGTACAGTAGTAAGCACTTTGAAAAAAAGAGACAAGCTGTTGGCCCTAAAGATACTTAATCTAAAAATATCATTGAGCACTCAACTGGGGATGTGACTCAACAGTAGGGTGCTTGCCCAAGGCCCTAGGTTTGATCCCCAACATGACAAAAAGTAAAATAAAGAGAACAGTGTATTATGATGTAAATGAGCACAAGACCAACATATTCTAGAAAGAACTTTGAGCCTAGTAAAAGAAAAATGATATTCTGAAAAAAAAAAAAAAAGATATTCTGGAATAAAGTGTTACCAGAGAAAGGTAAAGAAATTTAGGAGCTTGGAGAGGGCCTAAGCCCTTGTCACTTACAGTCTCATCTCAGAGGGGTGTGAGTCATCATCCTCTCCCATTATAATGATCCCTTTGAGCTTGACATTGCCCGTAAATCTGCCAGAATGCAAAAGAGAAGGTTGTCAACTTGGGGTTAAATCCCTGCTAAGCTGTGTGACCCTGAGCAAGACCACTCCCCTTTCTGAGCTTTAGTTTGTCAGACTAGATAACTTCTAAGATCCTGACTAGCTCTGGCATTCTGCAATTCTGAGAAATTTACCTCAACTTCTCAGTTATCATTCAACAAATACGTTTCCAGCCTGCTCCAAAAAAGAGCTATGATGCTTTCCTTTTCAAACCCACTGAAGTAATTTATCCCATTTCTAGAAACAGATGCGTGCTCTTGACACAACCAATGAATGAAACCATCTGAGGAAGCAAATGGTTACAGCCTATTTAGCCTGAGGCAGGCACCAAGGAGATACTTACGGAATATTAAACAGAAGCTCTTCATCTGCATCACTTTCAACAAACTGGAGGGGATGGGGAGGAGGGAGGAGAAAGCAACAAATATTTGCTGAGAGCCTACAATTTCAGGCATCTCCCACCCTGTTCTACAAATTGGGGTGCAATCCAAACAGGCAGCCTTCCTCAGGTTTTGCAAGATTTAGTAACTTGAAGCTAACTGATCTTATTCTAATAACCATAGACCATCCAGTGAATTCCTATAATGGGGAGCCTCCTGAACTGAGAATTGAAAGATCGGAGATTATGTGCATTTTTCTGGGGAGAGGGCCCACAGTTTTCGAATGGCTCTCAAAGGGGCCTGTGCTCTAAAATGGGAAACACTCATCCTCTCCCTAGGGCGAGCTTTACCGGGTGATTCAAGGCAGCCCACGAGACCGAGGGTCAAAGATAAGAGAAAACGCCCTCAAAACCAAGCTCCCTCATAGCCCCCACAGCTCTGGAACGGAGCGTTAAGCTGTGTGAAGCCAAAGCGCCCACTTTTCCTCTCTGGGCCTCTTGTTTCCTAGGCGCAAAATGGGAGACTCAACCCTGCTGGCCTCCCAAAGGCTGGCAGGAGACCGGCACAGGAAAGCGCCTGGCGACGGTGCTGTCGTCCTTTTCAACCTCAGGAGCGCGGCTGACGGAGCCCGCCCGCCGCCCCGGCCCCGGCGGCCCACCTTGGAGCGGTCGGTCCGCTCCTCCCACGGCTTGAAAACGCCGCGGCCGCTGCCCTCGCGGCTCTCGTTGAGGCACTGCAGCCGCTCCAGGTCGATGCGCAGGTATAGGCCGTAGGCCAGGCCGCGCTGTTCTGGCGGCTCCTCTCGTTCGGCTGCACAGCGACAACCGCCCCCGCCGTGGCTGTGACCGTGTGACATGGCGACGCCGCCCTCGAACGTCCTTTTGGCACAACCGCGGCTACCACTGCCTCGTTCGCTGCGCCCCGCTCAGACAGCCAAGCGCCGCGTCCCCCGCGTCGTAAAAGGCGCCCGTGCGTGGCGCAGGCGCCGGAGAAGAAGGGGGCGGGGCCCTGGAATTGACGTTTGACAGACGCCTTCCGGCTTTGACTCTTCCTGTGCTGGAGGTGGAGGATTTTATTCTCCCATCTTCACGGATGGAGAAATTGAAGGACAGAATGATGTAGCGAGTGTTCAGAGCAGATGGTGGGGCCAGGATTCGACTGCTCCTCTCCCAAACTAAAGTCTGCGCTCCCTTCTTTGGCCACTACGTTTCTTTGGAACAGGTGGAAGAAAGCTGCGGAGTGATAAGGCCCTGCAGACTGGAAAACATCGCGTTATCGCTGCACGGACGCACTTTGCTAACAACTTTCTGGAGACAAATGTTGGATCTGCTGCTGACGGTTTGAGACTGAATAAGTCATTTCCCTAATTCCAAGACTTGCTTCCTCGCCTGTAAATGGGAAGAATATTATCTGTTTCATAGGATTGCAGGGAGTACTGTATTAAATGAATGCGATTCAGGAACCCAATACAAAGGCTGACACACGAGGTAGACGTTCAGTAGCTGTTGGTTATTATTGTCAAATCCAAACAGTGCCACTTATTAGCTCTGAGGTGTTGGGCAATTGAACCTCTCTGAAGCTCATCTTACCGCCTGTAAAGTGAAGGATTTGAACTACACGATCTTTTTTGTTGTTTTTGTTTGTTTTTTGAGGCAGGATCTCCCTTTGTAGTTCAGGCTGGCCCTGAACTCACTATGTAGCCCAAGCTGGCTTCGAACTCGAGGCAGTCCTCCTGCCTGAGCCTCCTGAGTGCTGGGATCACAGGCATGTGCCACCACACCTGGTTTAGATGATCTTTAAGCTGCCTCTCCTGTGTGATATTTCAGAACCCTTCTTTTAAACGACTGGTTGTGACCCATTAATAGGTCTTAAAATCCATTTAGCACATTGTGACCAACATTTAAAAGAATAAAATAGAATGCAATAAAAAAAATGTATGGCACATTTAAGTCACAACGGATGAAACTTTTGTTTTCATACTCAGGGCCAACAAAAAGTATTTCATTTTGTGTGTTGAGACCAAAAGAATTGAAAGCCAGTCATTAGAAATGAAATGATTTTGGGCTGGGGATTTAGCTCAATGGTTCTGGCTCCTGCCTCGCAAGTGCAAGTTCCTGAGTTCCATCCCTGGTACCAAAAAAAAAAAAGTGAAATGATTTTGTTTTCAGAGTAGGATATTTTCTTACTGCCTGATGGGGTGGGGAAAAGACAGAGGATGTCCCCTGCCCTTCACAGCTGGCCCAGGCTAGACTGGTGAAATACAAATCAAACTATGGATCTGTTCAAGTTCTGTTCAGAAATATTTTGATGTCCTACTTCAATTATTTGTGAAATAAGCACATTCTAGTTCAAAATAGTTCAATGACATGAATTATTCCTACTTTTACATTGCAGATTCAGGCGTGGGGCCTGGCATGGGGTATACAGCAAATATTTGTGTAACTGAATCTTACACTCAGCAGCCTTTCTTTGGAAAGAGTATCTCATTGAAGGACCAACACAGGCCTTAGCCAGGATATCTACTAACTGTGACTTCTTTCCTGTTAGCTCCATCACTATCATCTTTTAATGATGTGTGGAGTGCCAGGCCCTGTGCTAAGCACATTATGTAGTTCATCTCAGTTACTAGTCACATGACTTGAGATAGGTACTGTAACATTGTTATCTCCAATTTGAAGATGATGAAAAATGAGGCTAAAAAAAGGTGAATTAACTTGCCCAAGACCAGACAAGGTTAGGAGGTAACCAGGCTTTGAACTCCACCTGTAATATTCCAGAAACACATCTTCTCATAGTTTCCAGGGGAAAGGGGATGTACATAGGAGGCAATTATATTGTATCAATTAGCTAATGCTTCATAACAACTCATTCTAAAACAATAGCTTTAAACAACAAATATTTATTTAGTATTTTTCATGATTCTGTGAATTAGCAGAGTTCTTTTCTGGACCAGTTTGGCATAGCCTAGAAGTTTGGAATGGCCTCACAAGTCTGGATGGTATTGGCTATCATCATCTAGGGTGTTGGGGCCACATGTCTCCAGCAGACTACCTAAGCTTAGTTCCAAGGTAACAGTCACTGAGTTCCCAGGAACAAGAGAGGACAAGGCCCAATTGCATAAGCACTTTTTAACCCTCTGTTTCTATAATTTTTCTATAATGTCCCATCAGCCAGGACAAGTTCAATGGCCAAATCTAAATTGAAAGGTAGATAGACTTCATTTTTGATTAGAGGAGCTACAAAATACCATGACTTCTTCCACTTCCCCTTCAATATACCTGCATTAGTTTTCTTTTATTGCATAACAAATTATTCCTCAATTTAATGGCATTAAACAAAAATGAACAGTTGTTATCTCAGTTTCTACAAGTCATGGATTAGGGAGTAGCTTAGCTGGGTGGTTCTGGGTTGGGGTCCCTCAGGAGCCTGAAGTCATCTGAAGGCTTGAGTAGGCCTGAAGGATCCACTTCCAAGGTGGCACACTCACAAAGAGGCAGGTTAGTGCAGGTTGTTTTTGGGGGTTGTTTTTTTTTGGTACCGGAGATCGAACTCGGGTCCTTGCGCTTGCCCAGCAGGCGGCGAAACCACTGAGCTAAATCCCCGGCCCTAAGTTGTTGATAGGAGACCTGGGTTCCTTGCCCTGTGATCTCACTATAATACTGTTTGAGAAGCCAGGCATGATGGCCCACATGCCTGTAATCGCAGCACTTGAGATGCTGAGGAAGGAGGATTGCCACGAGTTTGAGCCCAGCCTGGTCTACATAGTGAGTTGAAGGCTAGCCTGCACTACAAAGCAAGACCTTGACTCAAAAAAAAAAAAGGGGGAAGGGGTACTAAGGATATAGCTCAGTGTGAAAGCCCTGGATTTAATCCCTGGTATGGGGAAAAAGAAAAGAACTATATTAATAAGGCTGGAGGTGTGAAGCTCAGCGATAGAGTGCTTGCCTAGCATGCACAAGGCCCTAGGTTCCATCCCCAGCACTGGAAAAAAAAAGTTCTTTTTGTTTTGTTTTGTTTTTTGGTACTGGGGCTTGAACTCAGGACCTTGTGCTTGCAAGGTAGGCATGGTTCCACTGAGCTAAATTCCCAGAGCCCCTTTTTGTTTTGTTTTTGTTTGGTGTTTTGAGACAGGTTCTCTCTATGAAGTCCAGGCTGACCTCGAACTCACGGTGATCCTCCTGCCTCAGCCTCCTGAGTGCTGGGATTACAGGCGTATGCCACCACAACTGGCCTGTTGGTTTTTTTTGCGGGGGAGGGGGTTTGGTACCGGGGATCGAACGTGGGTCCTTGCGCGGCAAAATCACTAAGCTAAATCCCCGGCCCTTGGCCTATTGTTTTTTGAAACAGGGTCTCAAGCTATGTAGTTCAGGCTGGCCTTGAACTCACTATGTAGACCAGGCTGGCCTCAAACTCATAGCAATCCTCCTGCCTCAGCCTCCTAAGTGCTGGGATTACAGGTGTGCACCACCACACTCAGATGATTCTTGATTATACAAGTCCCCCCCCACACACCCTTGTTTCTGGAAGCATTTAAGAGCTCTTGGTCCCTGACATTCTGAATTGTGATGATTTGCTATTGTAGCTCCTTTGTCATTTATTGGGCAAAATGCCTGCTGGACCCTTTCAGTGTGGAACCCCTAAAACAGAATGTGAGCACATGGGTAAGGACCTCTGCACACATGTGCACAAGGCCCCCAGCCAGGTACACAGATTTAGGGATCTGAAGAGAAGCAGACTGGGTGGGGTCCTATTTGCCCCCTTCCATCACCTTGTGCAGAGGTCTGAGGCCCAGAAATGGAAATGTTCCCTTCCAGGTCCTTGTGAAGGCTTATTTATCAGACACAGAATAGACCATATTTTCTTTAACCATTTATTCACTTTAATTTGGTAAGTCTGCCTCTACTCTAGCTCTTGTCTGTCCCCCTCATATTACATATGGCTTGCTAGGCCAGTTGCCTAACTTCTCTAGGCCTCAGATTTGTCTTCTATAAAATAGGAACAGTAAGAGTTCCTACTTTACAGTTTTATTGTGTTGAAGGTATGAGACAATACAAGAAATGTGTTTGCCACAACCTCTGACCATAGGAAAAGTCTGCTACTTTCGCTATTGACAAGTGCAGGACTGTCAGAGCAGTGCCCCTGTCTGGTTGGGTAGGAAACTGCAGTTGCTAAAGAAGCTCAATTTGGAAGGAGCTGGCCGGTGGTGCAGGGTGGTTTAGCTGGATTGGGAATAATGCCTTCTGCCTCTCTTTACTGTTCTCTGTATTGATTGCTCTCCTACCTTGCAGGAAAGTCTGAGGATAAATGGGAATTCTTACTGACAGGTAGAGAAAGCTTCTAAGTTGTTTTCTTTCTGCCTTCCTGGCTCCGTCTCTAAACATTTTCAAGGCTGCAGGACTGCCTAATTTGTGTTCATTTCCCCTCTCTTCTGTCTCAGTTATGCTGGGAGAAAAGAACTGTTAACCAGTTTTGTTACTTTTCAATGCCTCTTTGAATGCAAACTGAAGGCATAAGTAATAAAAACAGCTAACTGCAAAGGGTACTGATAAGGGGCCAAGTGCTGTCCTAAGGGCTTCACTTGATTATTTCTTTCTTTTCTTTCCTTTTTTTTCCAGGACCAGGGATCAAATTAAGGACCTTGTGCTTGAGAGGCAGGCACAGTACCACTGAGCTAAATCCTCAGCCAACTTGATTATTTCTTAAGCTTCATAATTGCAGGTGTCCTACTATTATCCTCATTTTATAGATGAGAAAACTGGGGCACAGAGAGGCTAAGGAACTTGCCCAGAATCACACAGGTGGTTAGCAGTAGAGCCGACTTAAACCCTAACCATCCAGCTCTCAGGCTCCATGTTGTTGGGTTTTTTTGTTTGTTTTTTTGGGGGGACCGGGGATCGAACTCCGGTTCTTGCGCTTACACAGCAGGCGGCAAAACCACTGAGCTAAATCCCCAGCCCAGGCTCCATGTTCTTAACCATCCTGAACC